GTCGCCATGACTGAGAGGAACTCTAGCAGACCCTCGGTGGAAAGTAGTTAACCGGGCTCCTGGGTCCCTCCAACGCTCCCACCGTGTTCTGGAACCCCCCTGCAGCCTTGTCATACCTTGAGGATCGTCAGGTCCGAAGGCTCGCATCTCGAGACAATCGCGAAGGGAGTCGTGCTGGTCGTCCGCTGTTGACGAGACGTTGGGGATGGGGGATTGTGCACTGCGTCTCTCGTCGAAGGCAGCCATGGAATGAGAGAACGAGACGTTTCTGTTGAGCTTGGCATTGTGGCCCGGGTGTTGAATGCCCCCACCGCATCCAGTGAGGCTGCAACTGTCGTGCAGGGATGATTCACAGCGGACGAGGCAGAGCTTTGGGCCGCAGCATCGCAGCAGCAGCGAGAGAGTGGGAAATGACCCTGGGGTTCTTGCTGCCTAAAGCCCGTCGAGCTGACTGTGCGCAGAGAGCAGCACCAGCCACTCTTCGAGGTGAGCAGGCAGTCTCTGTCTTGCAAGCCAGGGTGCATCTGTTCAACTAATCTTCTCCACACGAAGCAGAGGCAAAAGTCTGGGCAAGGCGGTGTGACACGAGCGGGTCCTCCTGGGGGGAGCTCAACAGCTTCAGTCACCAAGTCTGGACTCTCACCATCGCTCTCCTTGCTGTGCACAAACACCTGCTGCTGGGTCTGCGGATCAGCTGGGAGTGGCATGACAGGAGCTGGTTTTCAATGCTACGATGGGGAGTATTGAGCTGCTTTCAATCCCTGATTATCATATACTTTGTACGAGATAGGCAGATACTAGGCTAAACGCTCAAACGGGCTTCCGAAAGGCTAACGCTCAATCAATTTCAGTTTAACTAGCGCTTCATTGTAGTGAATCAAACGGCTGGTGACTCTTCGTCTTCCATGTCATGCTGACTGCTGGAGACGCTGCTGCCTCGACCCCCAGCCGGGATGCTCATGCTGCTCAACAACGGGAGCAAGAAGTGAGAGGAAAAAAAAGCAAAACCAGAGCAGCACCCGGTGGCAAGCAGTTTGGACGGCCCTGGCCACCGATCAGCCTCAGTTTATGCCGTTTTTGATCAACCGCAGGCGACTCCCCTTCCCACTAGCCAGTTCCAGTCCAACGAAATCTCTCGCTCTCTCTCTCTCTCTCTCTTCCTCCTCCCTCCGCCTCTGCTCTCTCTCTTCAACCCTCTTCCTGTTCGCTTTCTTGCATGCTAAATAGTAGCCGTCCTGTCCGTTCTTGATCAACCCTCCCCTCTCTCGGCCATTGCCTGCTGTGTAACATTCGCTCGTGTCTCTCCATCTGTTGCTCTGTCACTTGTGAACCTGGGAGAATCAGCCTTGCGCCTCAAGCTTCTCTCAGATACCCTTCCTTACTCTTGCTTTGATCGATAGTATCTTATTTTTCCAGTGCTGTCTATTATCTGCCATTCATAACCCTTAGATTTCTTCTGTGCAGCGCTATCACTGGTCACTGAATGGTGAGT